TATGGGCGTTCGGGGTCCCGTACGGGGTCCGAACCCGACGGCGTTTGGGCCCCGCCAAAAATTATTTCGGGGCCGAAAAATAATTATTCTTTTCTGAATTGTTTTTTGTGAGTTCTCTATGGCGAAAGGTAGATGCCTGTAAATTTTTATGTCATTTCGTAAAGCCAAATAAGAATTAAAAATCGCCAAAGACTGCGGTGCCAAAATGTGCTCGCCCACGTAGTTTTTCACTTTTTACTTTTCGTTTTCACTTTAGTTCGGGGTCTAAACAATTTTATTATTTTTTGAAACTTTTTTAGTGGGTTTTGTATTATGTGAAGTACACACCTGTAAATTTTCAGGGCATTTTGCTATGCAAAAACAAAATGCAAAATCGCCAAAGATGGCGGTGTTGAAAACATGCTCGCGCACTCACTAAATTTAATTCTTTTTTTATTTTTATTTATTTTTATTATTAGTATTTGTGAGGAGCGAGCCCTCAAGAAGGGGCCTTGCCATGTTGTACATGTTCTGGGCTAAGGCCCTAGCAAGCCTCGTGCCCGCCCTAAGTGAAGGCGGGCCAGTAAATCCACAAGAGCCCTCTATGCCAACATTTCACGAAGTGGGGTTCATATAGTTGCAGCACGCCAGTTGGTTGGAGTGCACCGAGTCTCGGATTTCAGCAAATGCTGAAAGCCCAGGGCCTCTGAGTTAGTTAGGCCTTGGGCACTTGGACGTAAGGCCAACAATGCATGCTGGGTATAGAGGCCGAAAATGCCAAAGGGAAATTGGCCCACTATCTGAATCTGGCCGCAGGCCTTGATGAAAGAGGCACAACTGTATTGCCCCGGGGCCCAACTGTATCGGGCTGAGTTCAGCCTCTGGACCCCGGGACAGGCTGAAGGGAGGCCGCCCACACGCTGCACTGACATATAGGCAAGCAAGGCGAGTGGGCAGTGATCTTGGCCAATGCTGGCTTTGCGGGCACGCTACACGGATGCATGTGTGCTGCGCTATGCATAAGCAGTGCTGCGCTGAGAGGAAGCAGGCAAGCGCTAGGCGGTAGGGCGCTGCCTGCATCCAAGGCACTGGCGGCCATAGCCGGGCCGCATGAGGGTGCAGTGAGGGTGAAGGGCGAAGGTGGTCTTCGGAGGTGAAGGGTGCTGTGTGGGTAATAAGGGAGAGTGTGGGGAAGAGGACACGTAGCTGGTGGAGGTGGAGGTCGACATTGGTGTTGACATCATCACTGGCTGGTAGTCAAGTTGTCTGGTTGCTTTCATAGTTGTAGTTGTAGGCTTAGTCTGTAGAGTAGATAGGGCGCCTGGCGCCATTCATAAGAGAGAGCTACATTGGGTTATGCTGTTGGTGTTGCCCTGTTGGGCATGGAGATTGACTCACGATTCTTATGTATCATTCTCAATTGGATGGTTACTCGGTTCCATTGTACTATCTGCTTTGGCTTGGACTACTTGGACTTGAGTGTGATTTTGCATTCTGGATTTCTGTGCTTCGTCCATACTCATGTTCCTTGCAATTTGGTATTGAAGCTGGTTTGATCGCCACTTACCTTCGGCATGCTGGCGTTATACAGACTTGGTGCGTTGACGATGCTTCTTCGCAGTGGGTACTTGTGACGTCAGGCCACRTTAGGTGCACGCCCYGGGTAGAGAGGGGTGCACCGGAAGGCTATTACGGCAGTGTGTGCCGTGGGATACAGCGGAATGTTTGATTGATGATGAGAGCATGCTGATGTGGCATTGGACTAAGGTGGCACTGCATTGCGTTGTGGGTGGTACCGAGGTCATGACCGGTCATCAAATGCAACATCAGCTCAATTGGTGAGAAAATCTGTGGTTGGGGGCAGCTATCTCCAGGTATGTTGATCCCTTACCTTATCTACATTCTCAATCTCTTCTTACCGTGAGGAAGTGAGTCCAACTTGAGAGTCCTCTCCTTGGTGAGGTGTCGTGAGCGCGCTACCTTGAGAGACGACAATCTTCTCGGAAGCATCTGGAAGGAGAAAGGGCGGTGCCTCTGAAGGGCCCTGGTCGAAGCACTGGGTCACGGTCACCATGCCAACCCACAGGGAGTAGTGCACGCATGCGATGGATGATGTCCTGTTTTGGCACTTGCTGCGCTCAGATAGAAGTCTTGCCAAGTGTGCCAGCCTTGTATGAGACGCTTACCAGATCGTCTATAAACATTTCTGGTTGGATGCTCAGTATGATTCTGGCTGTGATTGTCGTCCTGACTGCGACGTTAAAGAATTCCTGAAGAGATGGGGACACTCTTAATAATCCTTCTGATCAGCCAGATCATCCGGGTGTAAGGCTCGTTTCCTTAAGAGTGGGCTGGCTGGCTTACTTGGCTCTGACTTGGGCACAGGGGTGGGCTGATACACACACGAAAACACTGCTTTGCTCAAGATGCTGTTCGGTATGTTGGAATGAGGGGAGGGTAGGTTCCAATTGGTGCTCAACTGTGTACACAACTATACCCATCAATCCTACATCTGCTACATGGTCTTTTGTACTTTTGATTAGTTGGTGGACAGACTGCTAACACCTCACAGACAGACTAGAGTAGGACTGAAGTATACTACCATAGCCAGTTCTATCTTGTGCTGCTGTAAGTGAACAAGTCAAAGTGCATTTGGACTCTGTAGATAATCTGTGTGAATGTTGTAGACATGCCACTTGATCGGTACAGTAGGGGACTTGCCGGACACAACCATTTCTAGAAAATTAGGTGCCGATCAGACACATGCTGCGGTAGGATTCCACTAGGGGATTCTAGTGCAGACAGTGTTTGCCTAATTCATGAACGGATCAGACGTCGACGAGGAGGGAATTGACGATGCTAGACTAATACGTGCAAGATCAAGTAGGATCCCGTACGTGTTCAGGACCCTAGACGAGGGAGAAGAAAGACGGCTTCATGCCGAACGCAGAGCCCGTGCTCTCACAGCATCGAGAGCAACAACAAACGTTGCAGCTAGGGAACAGGCTGCGGCAGCAGCCAGGGCAGCAACCATGACTTCTTCCGCAGCATCCTCCGCTGCAACTTCTGTTGCGTTCTCGTCTGGACCCCAGTTGGGAATGCCAACAGGGTCCACGGGCACTTATAGTTCAACGGGTTCTAGACAGTCCTACAAGTCAAATGGCGGGCTCACAGTTCAGCCCGTTGACTCCTCGCGAAAGGGAGATGAGGGAGCTCCAGCTGGTCGAAAGGATCCGTGCACAATTAGAGAAGGAACTGAAAGAAGCTACCGCTAGAGAAAGAGAGATAAAAAATAGAACAGTCAGGCTTGAAACGTTAGCGGTTGACAAGGCTGAGTTAGAGGGCATGAACGACTCTGGAATGAACGAGCCCATAAAAGTGTTGAGGAACAACATGCTGTCACTGCATGCGCACGTAGACAATAGGTTTGACTTCATGCAGAGCACTTTGGACCAGATCCTGGACATTTTGACAAGGCCATGATTTAGGTCACCAGCACAATCGTCGTTGCCGTTATCGGCGATGTCAGGCCCCTTTCCAGTTCAAGCTGGTACACAGCCTAGTGGTACGTCTGCAGCAGCCGCACAGACTGTTGCATCTTCTTCTTCGGGTCCAGCGGTGGTAGCTACACCACCGCAACGAGCTAGTCCTCAACAAGGACAGTCGCAAGGTCAATGGTACCCTAAGACCCCAATGAAACCACCTCTTGCCTTCTCAGGCGAGAGAAAGGACGAGGAACTCAACACATGGTTGAGAACGGTCCCGGTTTGGGTGAAGGCAAAGAGGACCTTGCCTGAGGACGAAGTGGTTACTGCTGCATCCTACCTCGAGGGTAAGGCAGCCAAGTGGTCAGATGGTGTAGTTGTGAAGGCCGGATACGGGCGACGCATGGCGGACTGGGCTAAGACATTGGCGTTGGACCAGTTCATGGAGATGGTAGAAGCTCGATGGCATAACCCACAGGAGGCTCAAAGGGCCACTGATGTCATTAACAAACTCGACCAACGCAAGTTCAAGTCGGTTAGAGAGCTTACGACTACCGTCGAGAGCCTGATCCTCGTTCCAGGCATCAACTACATCGATCAGTTCCTATTGACTACATTTGTCAGATGTCTCATAGAGAACATTAGGAACTTGCTAGCCAGCGAGGCACGCACTGAGTACCACTCGTTTGAGACACTGCCTAGGAAAGCCTTAGACTTAGAGGCCACGCTAAGCAATGCTCAACCCACCTCAGGGAATGACTCAAAGAAGAAGAAGAGTCCTCAGGAGTGGAAGAAGAAGGGGGCGAAGTTGATGATGGTTGATTCTGATGGGACTCAAACTGAGATCGACGAGCTCTCTGACCTGATGGACTACTCCGAGTATGACGGCGAGGAGGTAGATGAGGGTAGCACCCTCGCCGCAGTAGTTAAGACTAAGGCGGCAGACCGAGGGAAGGGCCAGCCTAGGGGTCAAGGGAAGACCGCCTCCAATCAGACTAAGCAGGTTGAGTGGGTAAAGGCAGGTCTTGATCAAGACGTGTGGCGTGACCACCGAACGTGTGGTGCTTGTATCAACTGCGGGGAGTACGGACACTCGCAATACAAGTGTCAAAACGCTAAGGTTACGCAGAAGGTAGCTCCAAAGATGGGGGCAACCTACTCCCAGGCTTCTAGCTCGGGAAACGCGTAGGGCCAATGAAAGTATTAGCCGCTTCGATTCAAGATGAAGTGGGATTGATACCCTCCCCACTTCATGACAAGGCCAAGGCTAATGACCCCTTAGTCACCCCGCAGACACAACTAGACCAAACTATGCTTTGTACGTTAGATGTGTCTGAAGCCTTAGAGGACTTAGAGAGTGAGTGGTCAAACAAGGACCCTCGCGAGTCCTGGGTGGCGCTGAGGAAAGGTCTTAGAGGGAAACATTTCGTGGTGGAAGTCGATGTAGGAGGCCGCAAATGTGGTGCCTTCATAGACATAGGCTCCACGCGGAATTACATAAGTCGCGACTGTTTGGAAAGGCTGCACCTATAGGACCGGGTACGACACCTTAGTAGACCAGTAATATCTACTTTGGCCAACAAGGAGTGCATGATTGTAACAAACTACATCAAGGACGTAGTCTGTACCTTCTCCTATGGAGGAGGAGAGCTTAACCATAAGATCTCATTCTTGGTTAGCGACGACCTACCATTTGATATGTTGTTAGGCATGTACTACCTCGAAGTTGCTAAGCCCCAGTTCGACTGGGCTAAGAAGGTGCTAAAGCATAAGTTGCCCGATGGCCGAATTGTCAGGTTGACTAAGTTCAAGGCCAGCAGTATTGTAGATACCTATGGCTGCTTGTGTGCATCAGCGTTCTACAATTACTACAAGCAAAACCAAGAGGAGGGTATGTACCTTGTTTATGTCTCCGAGAAGGGGGAGGCCGTTAAAACAACCCCAGAGATAGAACGTGTCGTTGCTAAGTTCCCTGATCTGTTCGAGGAGCCCACATGAGTTGTTGAAAGGGAAGTCGTCTACGCTATAGAAATTATTCCAGGGAGTAAGACCCCAAAGGGAAGGATCTATAGGATGGTCCCCGCCGAGTTAGATGAACTTCGGAAACAACTTAAGAAGCTGACAGAGAAGGATTGGATTCGGCCTAGTACTTCCCCTTACGGATCACCCGTTCTGTTCGTACCTAAGAAGGGGGGTACCTTGAGGATGTGCATTGATTATAGAGACCCCAATGCCATCATTGTGAAAAACACAGAGCGTCTACTGCGCATAAACGACCTATTGGATAGGGTGCAGGGATGCAAGTACTATAGCAAGATAGACTTGAAATCCGGATATCACCAGATAGCAATTAGACCTGAGGACCAACACAAGACCGCTTTTTAGACTCGTTATGGTCTGTATGAGTTTGTGGTGATGCCCTTTGGTCTTTGCAATGCGCCGGGTACATTCCAGCACGCTATGAATCGGATCTTCCATGACCATTTAGATAAGTTTGTCGTGGTCTACCTAGACGACATTCTGATCTTTAGTAAGTCATGCACAACATGTTGAGACGATACTTTCACTCCTTCGACAGCACAAGTATAAGGTCAACTTAGAGAAGTGTGAATTCGGTCGCACTAAGATACTATACTTGGGTTATGAAGTATCCGCGGAGGGAATTAGGCCGGAAGATGCGAAGGTGGCTAGTATTCGAGACCGGCCACGACCTCAGACAGTTACTGAGGTCAGGTCATTCTTAGGAATGTGTGGCCACTATAGAAACTTCGTTAAGAACTATTCTACAATCGCCTCTCCTTTGACTGATCTAACTCGGCTTGATACACCGTGGGACTGGAGTGACGAGTGCGAGGGTGCTTTCAAGAGATTGAAGCATGCACTCATGAATCATGAAGTTCTCATGGTTCCCAATCCGCAGAAGCCATTCATAGTGACCACTGACGCAAGCCAATACGGCATTGGCGCAGTGCTGACTCAGCAGGATGGAAAAAAGTTGAGACCGATTGAGTACATGAGTAAGAAGATGCCATCGAAGAAGTTGGCTAAGTCCACCTACGAAAGGGAATTCTATGCTCTCTACAAGGCACTTGTCCATTGGAGACACTTCTTTTTGGGATGGTTCTTCTATCTGAGGACTGATCATCAGACCCTCAAATGGATCAAGACTCAACCGGCTCTTTCCGATGCACTCAAGCGATGGATTGAGGTCATAGACCAATATGACTTCAAGCTTGAGTATCTGAAGGGAGAGTACAACAAGGTTGCAAATGCGCTATCCCGTAGAGCAGATTACCTAGGTGCGCTAGTTTCTGACTTTGGCATATCTGACGAAGTAACTTAATCATTGGTGGGAGCCTATCAGGAAGACCCTGTCACGATGGACATCATCCGCAAACTTCAAGCAAAAGACAAGGCCACAGAAAGTGAGTTCGTAATGGTGGACGAGCTACTCTATCTTGATAAGGCCGGAATACAAAGATTGGTAGTTCCATCTAGTGAACAGTTGCGTAGTTTATTTTTAGGCAAATGTTATGATGCAACTTGGCACTTTGGCTACAAGAAGACGAGTGCTAACTTAGTACAGCGATTTTGGTGGCCCATAATGCTAGATGACGCAAAGAAGTATGTGGAGACCTGTCGGGTTTGTCAGCGGGACAAGCCGCGAACTCAAGCACCGCTTGGGTTGTTAAAGCCTTTACCTATTCCTAATGGTCCAGGATTGAGTGTTTCCATGGATTTCAAGGACACCCTAGTGACCAACAAGAGTGGTAAGGGGCACATTTTAGTCATCATCGACCGATTCACTAAGTACGCTAGACTAATACCAATGCCAAAGACAGCCAAGACAGAATACGTTATCAAGTTGTTCAAGGACAACTGGGTGCGGGACTTTGGTTTACCAAAGACTATCGTTAGTGATAGAGACGTCCGATTCACAAGTGAGCTATGGAAGAAGACTGCGGAACAAATGGGCAGTCAACTTCAGATGACTTCAGGGAATCATCCCGAAGCCAACGGAAAAGCCGAACAGATGAATAGAGTTGTACAGCACTTGCTGATGCATTACATCAAGCCCAACCAAGATGATTGGGATGAGCAGTTGCCACTCATCGCCAGTTTGTACAACAATGCTGTACATAGCAGCACCGGTGTGAGTCCTAACCAGCTACACTTGGGATGGAAGCCTAGATCCGCGTTAGACTTCCTCCTTCCTGAAAACTGACCTGCTGCAACCCCAGGCACACTGGAATATGGTGTGCAGTATGAGAAGTTGCTGCAAGAAGTTGTCGAGCACATGAAGAAAGATCAGCAAGCAATGATTGCTTCTGAGAATCAACATCGTAGACAATCCACATTTTAGGTAGGGGAACGTGTCTGGGTCAAGGCTAGCGACTCAGAAGCGAGCTAGGACATAAATTTGGAGTCTTTCGCAAACTAATGCCTCAATACTTTGGTCCCTGTGAAGTCCTAGATATAGTGGGAGATGAGATGGATGGTCCCACTTACGTCATTCGTGTCCCTGGACACCTACGCACTCACCTAGTCTTTCATGCCTCAAAGCTTGCACCTTTCGCTRAGACTGATCAATTCCCTTCCAAGAGATCGATGCTGCCCCCAACCATGGATGGACAAGTCGACATCGATGACATTGTGGATCACCGGGACATGCCTGTTGCAAAGTCGTTGGGTCGAGGAAGACCTCCTAAACCCAAGAGAGAATATTGTGTTAGATTCAGGCATCACACGGACCCCAAAGAAGATCGGTGGTTTACTAAGGAGGAACTGATTGAGACAGTTCCTCAGGCAGTGGTAGAATATGAAAGGAAGCTGAAAGGGAAGGCACCTGCGAAGTAATCATCTCAGTGAACTTTCAAAGCTAAGGGGGATGGAATGTGAGGAATGAACCCTCAAGAAGGGGCCTTGCCATGTTGTACATGTTCTGGGCTAAGGCCCCAGCAAGCCTCGTGTCCGCCCTAAGTGAAGGCGGGCCAGTAAATCCACAGGAACCCTCTGTGCCAACATTTCATGAAGTGGGGTTCAGTTGCAGCACGCCAGTTGGTTGGAGTGCACCGAGTAGGATTTCGGCAAATGCTGAAAGCCCAGGGCCTCTGAGTTAACGTGAGGCCGACAATGCATGCTGGGTATAGAGGCCGAAAATGCCAAAGAGAAATCGGCCCACTATCTGAATCTGGCCGCAGGCCTTGATGAAAGAGGCGCAACCGTATTGCCCCGGGGCCGAACTGTATCGGGCTGAGTTCAGCCTCTGGGCCCACACGCTGCACTGGCATATAGGCAAGCAGGGCGAGTGGACAGGGAGCTTGGCCAATGCTGGCATTGCGGGCACGCTGTGCGGATGCATGTGTGCTGCGCTATGCATGAGCAGCGCTGCGCGGAGAGGAAGCAGGCAAGCGCTAGGCAGTAGGGCGCTGCCTGCATCCAAGGCACTGGCGGCCATAGCCGGGCCGCGTGAGGGTGCAGTGAAGGTGAAGGGCGAAGGTGGTCTTCAGAGGTGAAGGGCGCTGTGTGGGTAACAAGGGAGAGTGTGGGGAAAAGGACACGAACCTGGTGGAGGTGGAGGTCGGCATTGGTGTTGACATCATCACTGACTGGTAGTCAAGTTGTCTGGTTGCTTTCATWGCTGTAGTTGTAGGCTTAGTGTGTAGAGTAGATAGGGCGCCTGGCGCCATTCATTAGAGAGAGCTACATTGGGTTATGATGTTGGTGTGGCCCTGTTGGGCATGGACATTGACTCACGATTCTTCTGTATCATTCTCAATTGGATGGTTACTCGGTTCCATTGTACTATCTGCTTTGGCTTGGACTACTTGGACTTCAGTGTGATTTTGCATACTGGATTTCTGTGCTTCGTCCATACTCATGTTCCTTGCATATTTGTTTTCCGTATTTTATTTTTATTTCAAATTTGGTAAGGAATTCGGATGTAATGCTCGTGCAAATATTGTTTAATTTATGTTTCTCCATAACATATAATTTTTTTCAATTTTTTGTGATGAATTTTTTTTTTTTTTTTTTTTTTTTTT